CACCCACGAAATCATGCGGCACATCGTATAACGGTATTTACATGTTGAACTATTGTTCAACCTCGTCAAACGAGATAAACTTAATATTTATTTTAACTAAGGTCCGGATTTGTATGCATTTACATATTTGAGTGAGTGCAGTTCGCTGAGAGTGAGAAATGTGGACGATTGAGACACGCAATTCGATTAGATACAGACAATGCATAAAAAAAGTTATTTTGTATATTATTAAGCATATTTTATAAACAAGTTTAATAAAGTTTAAGTACCTAATAAAAGCATTTTTTTCACTATACATAGGTATATTATGTAAGATATTAATAACCCGCAGTTATAAATTTAGCAAAACAATACTGTGCAGTAGGTATATTTTGTTCGCAGGTAGGTACTTGAATTATTTTGTTAATGTTTACATAAACAAATTAAGGTTTATCTTATTAAATTATAACTAAAAATCAGTTTTACATTTTTAACAGTAAGTTGTAAAAAAAATAGTACACAACATTTATTAATGATTTTACTCTTCAAAGCTAGAGTTAACATTTTACACTAACAACAACTTACGAGTCGGAAGCAGAACGAACTTTTTCAAGCTTGAGACAAATTAAAACATTTTTAAGAAACCATGTCTAATGAAAAATTAAAATCTATCGCAATATTAATTATTAGCTATTGAAAAAAAGCCTCTAAAAATTTTAATTTAGATATGCTTGTGGATAAATTTAATGCAATTCATAATATTAATAAAAAAATGTTATCCTAAAAATTAATAATTGTTTATATTAATAATAATATATTAACTATACATAGCAATAATTTCTTGAAAATATGGTATAAACAAATGAATGGGTAATCGAGTAGCCAATAGCCATACATAAATGTCCCACCAGAAAAAAATTGGGCCAGTATCGCCGCCCCCTCCCCTACAATAAAAATATCTGGCGCCACCACTGCTAACGACACATACATAATATACATATCTACTATTATTTATGACAATGCACAGAGATAATTAAAAAACGATTGTCACAGCTTCACATACTATATGTTCATTAAAAAAAAGTATAATAATTGTATTATGTATATTAGATTATACCAAACCATCTATAATTTATTTTACGAAAAATAATTACGGTATTTTTTTGCATTTGATTAGAACAAAAAGTGGTACTTTGAAATTGAAAATTAACAACAATCATTATGCTGATTATATCAAGACTCAAATATTGGTGAATTCTACAGCGTAAATTGTGAAGTCATAAACGCTAATTAGTAATTAGTAATTACTAATCATTTATCGTAAATTAAACTTAACAAAATCAACGCGTGCAATATTAGACTAACAAGACATACATACTAACACAATAATTACCGAAAACTAAAGAAAGACCAAAGTGTGATATAATAATATAGCCAAGTGCAAGTTCAAGATAAAATAATAAATGACACAACAAAAGAGTACAACTCTCGTTTAGGAGGGGGGTTACAAGTAACAGAACGAGTTTTACGAAAAAGTCGAACGAAATATAAATAATATAAGTACTTTCCATTAATGTTTTGACGGGCAGACAAAAAGTCGAAAGTTACTGGCACTTTTAAAAATGTATAACACTCAGAATTCATAAGCTTTCTAATGGAAAAAAAGAGTAACAAGTTATTAGCCGATTACATTTCGTTTAAACGTGGACACAGCATGTCAAAACATCTTAAGAGTTAAGGTACGTGCATTATTTATTTTCTTCATATCTAGAAGATCTAACGTAGAACATATATTTTTCGCATTTTTGATAACAACATCAGTATTGACATATAGTTGAAACTTTCGTTATACTTGGGAGATTAAAAACTGGAGACGAGTCAACAAATCGATCGGATTAGAAAAGAAAATGATTTCCCGGAGGTACCTCCCGGCGGCACCCTGCGGAACTCACTGCACACTATCTAACCGGTCGCGCAAACGACCTTGATTAGGTCACAACACCTACAACGAGGATGGGTACCGACCGAGTGGTAGTTGACCGTGAAGGTTTCCAGCAACAGGCGAGATCGACAAAACTGATGCAACCATTGAATGAATAATAATAATAAGACGTTCATTAAAATATGAATGAACACCGGTCGTATTATTATAATACATAATAAGTGTGCGTGTGTGTATGAGGAGTGTACCGAAAAAAAATTGTTTTCATTATGATCTTCTAGTATACACTATACAGCCACACACACAAAATGAGTGTCTTTATTCATGGACCGACGCCTATGCGTGCGTTGCGTGTGTGTAACCGTAGCTTTATGGCCGACCCGACCATGTACGCACGTAGGATGCGTTCACACCTACAGTCGGAGGAGAGTTCCGCTGAAACAAACACAGTTTTCGGTCAATACCGGTTTGTAATAAATCGGATTCGGTTGTAACGCACAAATGACGAAATGGACATTCCTACGTTATTAGCCGACTTCCTTAACGCATATCACTAGTATGGTGGCGACAGGGGAGGATACAGATTCCCCGAAAAAAGGCTGACCATTGCATTGCGATCATTACAAACCACATAGAATTAAATCTACTTCCATGAATATTCACTTGTGCGCCTTGGCTTAGATTCCAATGTTATTCATAATGCATTTGTAGGTACTATTGGATTACACATAACTTGTACAACCACGGAAAATGAGTATGATAGAAATGCGTTACTAAAATTGCATTAAAAGTGGTCATAAAAATATTGACTTAACTATAAGCACTCACACTTTTGTGAGGTAAACATTAAGAAATAATATCTACCCTTTCTATAAATAATATTTTTCGATTACAATTACAGCAGTAGTAAGAAAACTTAGTGGAAAGTGAAAGCTACTTCAATACCTACATTGTATCATTATTAATTGGTTTGAATATAAATAGAAATAAATTATACATACAAGTTATAGTTGAGTTAATATAATAGGTATGCAATTAGTAATTAGTGATTATTTACATACTGCCAGGAATGGGTAGGTACAAAATATAGTAACATACAAGATTTGCAAGTATCAAATCAACAAAATCATAACTAACAAATTGTTAAATACAATAAAATATAAACAAATTTATAACTAAAAAGAAGAGTTAATGAAACCATACATAAACAAATACATTATTATTGTATACCTAGGTAGAACCAACGTATTAGAAACCAAAATAAAGATAACATTTACTTTAACACATTAAGTCAGGAAAACAAAAGAATGTTCAATTTTTTATTGAAACCGTTAATCTAGAAACATAAAATATGCAACAAGTATTATCAATATGAAATAGTTACTAATTATCATGTAAACTAATTAACAAATTTCACTATTTCAATTTTATTAATTATTTTTGTGTCATCCCCTCTATTTTTATAATATGCAATTTTGAGAGACCATGATTAATGATTATATACAATATGCAGGTACATATACATATGATATTATGTATACATGTACAAATAATAGAGATTATACTACCAGGCTACAACGATTACTATACCAAAAAAAGATATTTTATCAATTATAATTAATGGGTACTTGTAATTTAACAGTATAAAGTATTATGAGTTTACAAATAAAAATAATTTAATGTTATTCAATTTCAATACTCAGTAATTTTTTATAAATAAATTATATAAATCTTAAAATAGTTGTTTTAAATACAGTGAAAATATTAAGAAGTTCATAGAACTCCATTTCTATCACTGGTTAATAATTTTAAATTGTAAATAAGGAATGGTACCCAAATGTTCCATAACAAATATTCAAATAACTACCTACATTTCAGTTTAGGTAGTAACTAGTAAGTAAATAAGAATTAATATGAGTAAATACACAAAGGAATAATAACGAGATAAAAATTATAAAAGTAATTTAACCAGACAACTTTATTATCTTTTGCAAAAAAAACCACATGGTTTCTAAATTATTTTACTAAGGTAAAATATCATAATTTTGTTAAGATTAATGGTAGGTACCTTTTCAAAATATTTTAATTACTTTAATAAGAAAAGATTCCTCCAAAAACTACATCATGTCATGATTATTTAATTAAAGAACTTAAAAGAAACATTTCATGAACTAACATAAATATCACAAATTATTAAGCATACAATTCATTAATAAAATAAAGGTAAATAATGAACCAAATTATTCTAGATACCTACACACATACTAAATTAAGCATAATATCAATAATAGAACTAATTGCAATCTAATATATTATTAACAATACAACATTATAGGTAATTAGTTTAAAAACTACCTGGTAGTTTATAGTAACCGCAATACCAAATACCAATATCTATTATTAGTAGATTCATTAAATTCAAATTAGTTGAGACAATTAATACTCATTGCTAATACAATAAAAGGTTAAATGAGATAAAATAGGTAATATTAAGCGGTTTAATGCCTACTAAGTAATTAGTAGATGTACAATAAAAAGTTGAATACATTAGTTTTAACCAATAAAATAAATATAAATGTATAGAATTGAATAGCTTGGGACTGAAAAAATATGTACCTATTATGTAAGTAATAAAATATTGAGGTATCTACTGGAATTAAATTGTAGTTTCTAAAAAAAAACACATTTTTACCATTAGCAACTACCGAGGAATATTCAACAAGTTTGAATGGTATTTTTTAAATTCATTAAGCTCATACCATATTTTAAAATTTAAAATCCTATTAATCGGTTGCCTAACTGACAGGGCAAGTCAGATAAGAATTATCATTAATATACAACTACTAATGTGTGAACTACCTACTTAATTATTATCACTCGAAATAACTCAAATGTTATCATTACGAAAATTATAAAATGTTTAAAATCATAATAGGTAGTATTCATTATGGTAGATATAGGTTGAAGTACAGAAACATTTCATAATAATCAAGGTACCTCTCTGTATGAACTAAATTATATAATAATAAAAAAATGCATAGGTAGCTATAGCACAAATATAATCTTAAGAAACTCTTACCGTTCAGACAATGAACCTTGCATCCATCCTTCAGCAACCGTTTGGCCAACACAATCATTGTGTCTGATACGGGTGAAGTAGTCTTGCGATCGTCCAAGCGCTCGTCACCGTACAGCACAAATGCGCTTTTCTTGTATGCATTGACAATTTGCTCTCTGAGATCAGTGCACTTTACCGTGGAAGCCAAGTCGATCTTACCAGCGGCCAACCTCCTCAGCATGATAGTGGGGATGCTGAAGTTGACCGCATCGCGGATGTGACAATCTGAGAAGTCCATCGAACTACGACAGTCCAGTATGAGTAACTGACACTTGTTACTGGACGACAGTTCAGAGGCCAGCCATTCACAGCCCACACAGATGTTGGATAACACGGACGAATCATCTTCAGCAGGCATTTCGAAAACTGCTGGGTGCCCACTGCGAAAAATAAAATTTCTAGACGCACATTGATGCTCCGGACACACAACACACGCGGCGAATCTACGAATGTTTTAATTTGTTAATATTTTTTAAATAATATGCCGCATTACAGCGTACTAAATGAGTGTTAACTACAGTACCTAGTTCTCAACGACCGCGGTTAAGAGTTAACGTGGATCATCTTTTTAGAGAAGTAACAATAAAAAGAAATGTACTTTTTAAAATAGGTAAGGTAACACTTCATTAAATTACGAAGACTGAAAAGAATCGTACGAATAAGATTTAAATCGAAAACTACACGATAATGATAACGACAAAATCACACTGCTCACACACGACACACTACTACGACAACATTTTATGGTAAAGGACGCTGATAAATCGGCGGCGGAGAGATGATCACAAGGAGCGCGGCGGCCGATGCGTTCGCCTTGCGCACGCAGTCGTAGTGGAACTGTTGATCGCTGAAATGTAGTGAATGCGTCAATGCGATGACAAAAACATGGACACGGTGAGAACGGAATATGGACGCGGCGCGCACGACAAATACCAATTACCAAGAAAACCCGCGGCGCCCCTCGTCCAGAACACCGACGCGTCCGTCGCTACCTGTCGGGCAACCGCACGCAACTGATCTGGACTCTAGCGCTGCCTATCGGCGTGGCAGCGCATTGGTCATCCGCCCATAGATAGCGCCGTCGCGTCCGAATTCAAATAAAACCGTCTGACCCGTGGACCATTAATTTTTGTTTAAGCGTAGGTGTGGAATAGGTGTTAGCACGGACGAAATTAAATTGATACAATTCAGTAGTATTACTGGTATTATAGGTACAGACCAGACCACAGCTGCTTGATTCATCGTTTGATGGACCATGGACTATGGACAGTTCAATAAATAGGATAAAAAAAAATTTCTTGTATTAGACATTTGGTTGTATTTAAGTAGGTACCTATTGGCTATTCATAAAATACATTAGACTGTTGTTGTAAATCATGACATACTCTGCGAAGATATGGTTTTGTTTTATTTTTAATTTTAATAACAAATTTTCATTAAGTAAAATCTTTGTCGGCTACTCCTTCAATCGGTGGTGCAATCGGTTGTGCGTGGTGGAGGGGGGCGTCCCCGTCGAAATTTATCCCTTAAGTCTGTTGTGAGGACAACTAGGCCACTATTGAGGAGGCCCTGTCAACAGCCAATTATAATATATATCTATAGGAAATTATATTATACTATGTTTTTTTATAGATGTAAATTCGAAATTAATCATTTTACTACAAAAATGATTTCCCAGTCTGGTTTGGCGTGTTTAATTCCTCAATTTTTGGAGAATTATTAACTGTTAAATTATATGTGTGTATAACAGTGGCACGTAACATAGGGTCCAAGTGTTCCTCAGACAACGCCTTAAATATGGGTGGGTCGTGGGTGGGTATTGATAGAAGAAAAACAGGACATTTTATAGGTCGGTATAACAGTATAATGAGGGATAGTTCTCCTAAAATTATTTGAGGAACACCTAATTTTTTATGATACACACCACTGATGTTGATATAATATATTTTATTAATAATGAGCTAATGAGCTATCCATAACCAACAACCTAGAAGTCCGTATAGAATCTCGAGTTCGGAGATCAAAGACGGCAGGGCGCAGACGTAGGAATAAGCGACTATACCTAGTTATAATATACTTTTCGCGCTGTAACTTTAGGTTACGGAAGATCTGTAGGACCTCAAGTATTTCGACAGGCGCTGTTATCTACGCGAAAATAATTGCAAAAATAGTAATTATAGGTGTAGCTTAGTATTATAGCATAAAGACAATTAAAAGCTTAAAGCTAGTTGAGTGAAGTAGAGCGTGGTGAAAATGAGTAAAAAACGCAGAATTCAAAACTTCATTAGGGCTATTACTTCAAAACTAAGTTCGACCGACAAATTCTAATTTCATCAGCGTCTTGAGCTCGTTGAAGTATATAGGTTTAAAAAAAAATCAATATTCCTTATATGCGTCGTAAACAAGAGTGATGCGTAAATGCGTAAAAATAACTGTAGAGCTAACTACATAAGTTGAAAAAATTACAAAAAAAAGGTGTCAGGTAAAGTAACAAAGTTTCTTAAAAAAAAATAAATGTGTATTTTAAAATTAGTTTAATAGTTGACGTTAATGTGTATGAATGGTGATTTTTTTAATTAATTTTAAAACTTAATAATTTATGTACATATTTATTCCAAATAGAGACTAATAATGAATATACTAACTTAATTTCTGTTATTGATGAAAAATTATGTTAACAATACTAGGCGATGCTTTAGTCTCTACTCTCTGTAACAGTACTTTAGATGTGACTTAAGTAAGAAGTGAGGCCCGTAGATTTCTTAGAATATTTTAATGTCTACACTCTACATCAATTATAGTTAGTTAGTTACTTCTCAGAATTCTGGAGCTTACTTTAATTTTGCATAATATAATATTCTCTTCGTCATCGCTATTTAAAGAAATTAGAACATATGAACGAAGAACGTGAAAAATGGTAATTTTTCCATAGGTAGGTACTGTTGTACACTTGTACTGATCGTTATCGTTTGTATAATAAAATATAGTTATTGGTTCCACAATGAGTATTCTAATTTCTAACAATGATCTCATATAGTATACATATTATATTAAACATAATATATGTATATACTATATACCTATATAAATTACAATAATTTATTATACACACATCTATTCACTATTTATGACTTATGTCTACCTGATTATCTGTAGTGGTTTATATTACTATAATTTACTATAATATGATGATATTGATATATATAATAGAAAACTAAAAATAGAGTTAAGTATTATAGCCTTATAGGCTTTACATAATAAAATAAAATATAATATATTTCCAAATATTTTTATAAATGTAGGCATAATTTAAAAGTCTAAAATATCGATGATAGTTTTGAACACATTTTAAGATTTCAATAGTACCTATTGGCTATTACCTAATACAGTATAATAATTGCAACGGGTTTTCGTTAAATATTGTGATTATTATAATATTATTGTTTTAATCATCACTTATTACTTTTATATTAGAATAAAAATACTTAATACTTACTATCGTTTAAAATAGAAAATTATCAATCAAAATATACATTTATAAATTGTATAATTTTTTTTTTGTTTGCTTGTTCGATTTATACAATTTATAAAATATAGTATATTTTCTAAGTATAGTGGGTTGAGTAGGAATAACTTAAACTAGTTAATTTCAATAATTTTACGCAATATTGTAAAAGTGACATTAACATGAATTTTCGAAGTTAGTATAGTCAACATTATTTTGTATTCAATTTCGAATAGCCGTAATAGGTATATATTATAATACAATGACTAGTAAGTATAGCTTAGTTTAGGTATATCCAATAATTTTTGAGAATGTTTCTATGAATGCATTGGTAATTCATTTGGAGTAGGACTGTAAGAGTAAAAGTGACTTTAGGGTTTCATATTATGTATTAATAAAAACTCTCTTATACTCTTATGATGTCCATGATAATTTGTTACAATGAAATATACCTATATTTAGAAATTTGGTAATTTAAAGTTGCTAACTTTTGTAAAATATTTATTTTTAAAAGAAATTTGATAATATTTTTATTTAGCCTATTTCTATATCATGACTTTTCATGAACATCATAATGTCTAGGGACTAGGACCTAAGACAAAATTGAGAACGATTGTATAACAGAAGAAATCAAGGAAGAGAAAATCTCAACAATATAATAGAAAAGAGCAAAAAGAATGAACGCCAATACTAAATGTTTAAGTTGTAGAACTAATTAAAACCCTTAAGTTGTGTACTAAGATAATTAATTAAATAGACTAACTATTTCAAAAATTTTATAAAAACTCGGAAACATTAGGTCACATTGAGATTTGAGAATAGACTTTACGTTACTTGTTTATTTGTACTTCGTAAAAAAAATATTTTAACTGAAAATATCATTTTAATATTTTTGAAACAATTTTCGTTGTTGTCTTTGTAACACAATTGTACATATCCATAATAATAATAGTTGTAATTTTTAATTTAATATTCTAGCGTAAATTGGTTGATTCATTAAACAGTTAACACTTATATTGTCAATTTTTGAATGACAATATATATTTTTTATTTTTTATTCTGAAATATATTTTTTTGTTATAAGTACTTGAGGTTTAAATATAAGTTCATCAAAATTTTAAATAGGCAATTAAACTTATAACTAATTAACAATTCAAAAATTCAATTTAAATACAATAAAATTCTCAAAACAAAAAATTCAACTTAGGGATATAAAATTAAAAATGTACCTATGTCATGTTTCAAAAAAATTTTTAAAAAGGGATAATGGTCAAAAATATTAATACTATTCAAAATGAGTGTTTACTGTTAAAAGAATCACCTTGTCTAAACATATATATATATATATTACATATTATTTTGTAGTGAGCAATTTTAAATTATGTACAAATAAATAATTTTAACATAAATCAATAAATATTTAATTATATCCTTATAAAATAATTCTAATTAATAGATTAATAACTAGTGGGTAGTTAATACAAAAATACATATCGTTTATACAGAAATACATTATTTGTATTTAAAATTACATAGATTTACTAATAGTTAATGTTGATTCTATTCATTAAATCCAAGAAAATTGAGCGATTTATGTGAATCATTATAGTTCTATACTTTATAAGGTTTAGGTATTAGGCCTTAGTAATTTATTAATACAGATAAATTATTAAGTACACATTATATGTAAAAATTTAACTATTCGTTGTACATTTCAATTTGATCTAGCACTTGACTTGACACAATAATAATATAATATAAAATGACAGATTTTCCGGCATAACCCTCATATCACATACGTTTATGAATTTAATATTAATAAAATATTTAATTACCTACATATTTAAACAGCGACTCTAACAATTATAATATAGGTATTAACAAAACTATAATACAAATATACCTCGTACTTTCAAACAAACTTTGTTTTTCCATTAAAGTCTTATTTGTTGTAAATAAACACAAAAGTTAACATTTTAATAATAATACCTTAAGTTATCTTTGTGGACGAGAAACTTTGTGAAACCTGTTACAAAATCTACTGATACTTATGAAGAAAAATATAACAATTACAGCGAAAAAACCCCATAAATAGAGCCCAACCGATAATGAGTCTTTGTTGGTGAACAACACATATGGCTCCACCGCCGGTGTCAATAGGCCGTGGTGAATTAAGGCTGCAGTACCATTCGGGATAGGACACTGCGCCTGCACTATTATTTCATGACGTTGGACCTAAAAAATATCACGTATAGAAATTAAAGATCCGATGATAAGTCATTGGATAAAATTTGACTCGTTATTTTGTTACCTGCTTGTTGCGACACACAAGGGTAGAAACGAGGGAAGAGAGCACATCATGACTATGGTCTCTTATTAATAATGGCAACATAAAATACCTAGTCGGTGACAACGTCGAAAGAAATCGAACACC